TACATAAGTATGTAGTTTTCGATTTTCCTAATATTTCGATTTTCCGTTTTTTTGCGTAATTACGTGAAAAGAATTTTTCGAGCAATGGAAAAATCACCCCAAAAATTGGGAAAATTAAGAATACTTACACCTATGTAATTTTAAATTATGTATAACCTTTGTATTTCTGAGTGTGGAAAGCCAAAAAAATATAATTAATCAAAATTCCATCACATGATCCATTCTTCCCCATGTTTTATATTTACGTCTTTATAATAAAAGAGAGAGCACAAACTAAATTTCATCGAACTCGGATGAAATTTAATGTTTCCTCCCATGAGGGTGGAGAGCGTGGCAAATTGCCCATTTTTACGATATTTCATTATAAATGGCAGCACATCTCGAGTTTCGGCGAAGCTACAGCAATTTGAAACTTTCGCTCGACACTTACTTCAGGATAGCAATTATTCAACCGAAAAGATTTTGCAATACTTCAAGTCTCCTCATCGCATTTTTCGGGGTTTTAGTGGGTTTTTAGCGGACCTATAAATTATAGTTGCGATAAAAAGATGTTTAAAAAAAAAATTAGAATTTATTACCGGGAATCTCCTGCAGAGATACAGAAAAATATTGATTTTTAAGATTTCTATGCTCTTTCTTCGAAAAGTTTTTTTTTTCCCATATAAAAATACATGCAAAACTTGAAGCGCTTTGAGCGACCTCTAAATATTTTTTGATTAAAAAAAAAAAATAAAGGTATAATTTTTTTCGGTATAGAACAATCCTAGGGGGTGAGAGCATAAAAATTCCGACTTTACTTTTTCACATGCATTTTTGGACCACCCTAGTGTGCATACATACTTTTCCGAATACTGAATCGTTCGTTTCCATATATACGTAATGTGAATACCTATTGCGATAACATGGAATGGGTATTCATTTTAACATTTAGATGCCTCGTAACCGCGTCAACCTCGTAAATAAACCGGTTTTCCATATAAAATTAAGTAAGTTTACGGGGTTACAAGGCATTTACGCGTTTAGATGAATACCCCTATAATATATATAGTAAATATATTTATGAATTAGTAGCATTAGCTACTATATTATACAACTACTAGCCAATGTGGTGGTCAGATACTGTTTTATCAGCGGTTGAATCATAAACCATATACGGGTATTGGTATTTCATAATTAACGTAAAATCCAACGATAATAAAAAATTGTATATCTAGACTTGTACCTTAACGGTGCGATAATGGCTATAAGGCGATCAGTACAAAACTATTTTATTTAAAGAAGTCCTGACCTTATCAGTGTATTTGCAATCTCTCGCCTAGTAGTTCACTAGAGTTTAACCATACGTATGCAAGTTAGTCTATGGTCAACAATCTGACCGACTAGTCCACATCGAATTAAGTCCACCTTGTGTGCTCATCATCTCTACCGCCACGCGATGAAATTCATTACCATTTTCGGTACGATCTTGGCATTGGCCCTGGCAGGCACAACTTTGTGCGCGCCACATAGCGAAGCAGATACCTCGGCAGATACCACTGCAGAAGGACGTATTGTCGGCGGCAACACCATAGACATTTCGGTACATCCACATCAAGTTACTTTGCGCGTGAAGAGCCTTCTATATCCAACGAACTCATACTCGCATAACTGTGGTGGTTCAATTGTATCGGCGTACACAATTGTCACAGCAGCACATTGCGTCATAGCTAGGGTGGCTAGTGAATATCAAGTTGTTGCCGGCACAAATCATCGACGTGGCGCCGACGGCATCATTTCCGTCGTCAAAGAGATCATCATGAATGAGAACTACAACCCAAGCACCATCGACAATGACATCGCTCTGCTAGTACTAGCTACGCCACTGCCGATCAATAATTTCACCATCAAACCAGTGGAGTTGGCAGACGTACCTTCATTGAATGGTGCTACGGCAACTGTTACCGGCTGGGGTACACTCGTACAGGGTGGGTCCAGTCCAAATCTATTGCAGGAGGTTAAAGTGCCGATTGTCAGCAATGAACTGTGTGATCAGGATTATGGCTCTGCCGGTCTAATTACGGATTCTATGCTGTGCGCTGGCGTACGTGGTGTTGGCGGCAAGGATGCCTGTCAGGGTGATTCCGGTGGTCCACTGTTAGTCAATGGCAAATTGGCCGGGGTGGTTTCATGGGGTTATGGTTGTGCAGATTATAGATATCCAGGGGTGTACTCGAACGTAACACATTTGTTGCCATGGTTGCGTGAAAAGATCGCCGCGATCGATGCTACGTTTTTGAGGGAAAATTGAATGGACATAAGGAGAACACATTTGATGTGAAATCATGCGTTTGAAATTGTAAATATTTTTATACATACATATGTATGTATGTATGTTTGCAAGTAAAAAAGTACATATTGAATATTAAAATATAAAGTTTTGTCTTTGTTATTTCCCTTGAAGAAAATATCTTCTACCAAGTTCGGCCTTTTCGTATTGATTTATTCACTTGCAGCGAACTTCGTAGTTACGAATATATTTCAGAAAGCTGCGCCGTTGACAAGCTACTAGCGAAGAGTATAAAAGCTCAAACAGTCAACGACGTAACGTAGATGTAGGTTGACGCAGACACGATCTACCTTATGGGATTCGCATGTTAACGAAAACTCACCACCGCATGGCGGTGACGTTGCCGTTGCTTCTCTTGCTATCTATCAACAGTAAATTTGATATGCTGCTACGTACGTCAACCTACGTTTACGCTACGTCGTTGACTAACTGCGCTTTAATAGACTACTCTTAATAAACTTTACCTATCTAAGGTAGGCTTTGATCAACTAAGCAAATACTCACTGTGTGTATACCTATAATTTTTTTCAATACTTTAGTGGTTTAAGGCCTGTATGCAGTTCTCAAGAAAAGTTAAAATTCCATACAAAATGAAGTACAAGAAATGGCTAAGAAATTTTCTTGAGTCAAATTTCCTTCAGACAGTACGCAGTTCTTAAGAAATTTGCTACACTTTTTACTACGGTTTTTTTTAGTTTTTTGTGAAAAAAGAGCACAAGGCAACCCAGGTTTGCAACAGAAATATATGCCCGTTCCATTATTTCTTGAGGAAAGAGTGAGGCAACAGGCTGTGCAGTATCAAAAATGTCAAAATTCCTTGGACACACACACGAAATAATGGCAAATTTTTCTTGAACGATTTCTTGAGAGCTGCATACCACCCTTTATCTACCAAAAGCATGCACTGAAAAAAAAAATCAACAAAAAATTGGTGAATATTACCAAATTCAAACTTGAAAAGGAATCAAAGTGATTTTTGGTTAATATTAACAATGCCATGGATATTATATTTTCAACAATGATTTGGTAATATTTACCACACTGCCGTTTGGATTAAACAAATTTTTGATTGCCGATTTTTTCGTTGGAATACGCTTATGTTCAGCACTTCATAGATGCTTTTTCAAAATTCGAAGATACAAAACAAACGTTTTTATTATAATTTCAAGACCTTGCCTCTAACGGGATTTGATCCCAGAACTTCAGGAAGTTAGCAAATAATAGCAAGCATCTCTCTGGACACTCACCTACAGCCGTTCTGTAAATATTTATGTCCTCAAATGTTGAACTTGGATAAATTTTCTTCGCCGTTTTGTCATGTTCTGCACTTCGCAGATGCTTTTTCGTAATTAAGAAAACCAATAAACAAAAAATTGCATGTCGCCCCTGACGGCATTTGAACCCGAACCTTCTGGATGCTAACAAATAATAGCAAGCATCTCTGCACGTTTTGCAAGAGCCAGATATACAAAACTGTTTTCAAATGTTGAACTTGGATCCCATTTCTTACACTCGGTGTATTTACCATGAAAGAATCATACAATAACTTGGTTGGAAAAACCATTGTACTTTTGGCTCAGTGTAGAAATTGTACATAATCTTGCCATATTTAACGTTCCAGGTTTCTTTTGGAGAAAGTACTGCGTACTTTTCACTGATATTTTTTAGTGGTTCCGTTATCAAGGAAATATACTTCATCTTTCTTCAGATATCGTTCATTCTTAATTGTGTACTGCTCTGCAAGAGGTCATTTCTAAATACTTAGTGCCTTTTTTTCCAGTACCTTATAAAATTTATCTTATCTTCAAACACATTTTATCAAAACGAAATTTGCGTTTAAAGTGCAGTTAAATTTTAAAATCTATTCGACAAAACGGCCCTTAAAGGGCTATTAAGTTGGAAGTAAACCAGAAGTCACCCAGGTCAAATACGTGGAGTAGCCTCCAAAAACGACCACAATAGTTATTTACAAAACGCAGAAAAAATGATACGCAAAATCTTAATTTATCTGCTTTATTGCCAGCCTTACATAACCAAATTAATAACTTTTAGTTAACTTTTCAACCTTGAATGGGGATCTTGAAAGCTTTTGAGTACTTTGAGATTAAATTACACATGAACATCAGAAAATTAGGATTCGGCTATTACTGCTGGAGGGCGCTGCGGCACATCCATAGTGGTATTCTTAACAAGCTTATCGAATCAGGAAAACAATCAGATTATAAACCTCCTATGACAGACTTCAGGAAAAACTTTCAGATGCAGTTTCTTTTTAGATAGAATTGGAGTAGGGGCAGGATAGTCGAGGAGAATCCAACTGAAATCTACAGTGACGGGTCCAAAATAGACTGCGGTGTGGGCGCGGGGGTGTTCTCTGAGACGTTGAATGTCTCGTTCCGCTTACCGAAATCTTTGTTAGCATCGTCCAAGCGGGAGTTCTGGGAATCGCAAGGCCCTGTAAAGAATAATGGTTGAACTGCGTAGAAGTACGAAAAGCATACAATTTCTCACGGAAATGAGAGGGCTGATGAGTTGTCTAAACCCTTAACATCTCTTGATGTATCCTAAGCAGGGACATATGGCTAATACACGTTGGAACAACTTTCAAACCCGAAAAATTGCGAGGAACATATGGCCGCAATATGACAAACTAAAGACAGAAGAACTTCTAAAGAGGTCGAGAAAAGATATAGTCAAGTAAACAGCCACGATAACGGAACATTTGCGCTCATTGGCGAACATGAAGAAGTTTAAATGGGCATTACGTACAACCCCCGGTGCAGTAGCTGTAATCATGAGGAGAGTAAGGAAACGATCCTACACTAGCTTTGTAAGTGCCCTGCATTGGCACGAATAAGGCATGACACACTCGAGAGTTTTTCCATCCAAAATCTTAAGGTGATCTCCAAATGCACCCTTAGATACTAATAGAAATAGATACAGCGAAATATACAAATAGTTTGATGAAACCGACGAATCACGAAAGCAGATAAAATCACGAATCAAGGAGGATCCCAGAGAAAGCATATAAAAATGGTGCTATCTGCATTAACTGGAACCCAGGCATGTGCTCAGGCTGTGCGCCTAGTAACCAACCAACCAACTTCGAAATATGTAGGTAAGGTGCTTGAGCTCGCAGAGATTTACCCAGTGTTATCAAAAAACACTAGCAGCTTTCTTGCCAAACTGGAAAAATTTTTCGTGCACTCCTTTGGCGACAAACAATATAGATTGCCAGTGTCTTCCGTTTTGAGAGATAAAAAAAAAACTTTATAGGCCTGCTGTCATAAACTACACACATTTAGTTTTTGAAACCCTGCTACCCATCGTCACACCTAGTCCACAGCTTCCCTAACTGCTGAATCGTGTATAGGTGGTGCTCATATTTTATTGGGAGTTGGTCATCTTTTCAACTTAGCTCATAGTGCACAAACACTTCTTACTTGACGGAGACCTTGTTTGAATGGGATTAAACTTGTGCCACCTTTTATTTTATTTTTTCTAATCCTTTAGATGTTTTTTTTCAATTTTTGACCGCAAATTCAATTACCTACGCGGTGTATACCAATATACATATCTGATTCTAAGTAGTTGACCGAACTTTATCAAATTCCGCTGATAACCAGTAGACGTGAGTGGTTCAATGTCAGGCTATTAAATTGTAAAATGATTAGCAAAACTTCTACACCTATCTGTAATCTTTTTAATAAACAAGTTTATGAAATTTTTTACTAACCATAAATTGATAAAATACATACATACAATTAGTTTACTTTGACACATTAGTGCAAACTTTTTTATTGAATTTGGAGTAAGTTTTATAGGGCATATAAACTGTAGAAAAGGCATATAAGATATGTTTATCAACACCGGTATCCCATAAAAATTGCCATGTTGTTATCGATATATATATTTACAAGTATCATTTTCTACAGCAGCTCACAGCCCTCCCCCGCAAAAGAAGCGCACAATGCAGGCGCACAGTATGTGCGGTTTCACAACAACCCGAGTGTCATGCAATGCTAATATCGAGCAGTCAGTTCAACACTCGGCGAACAACGTCAGCTGAGGCTCTAAAGACAGGTGAGTTCAGCAATAGCATAAAAATTCCCCAAGAAGTTTTCGAGGCATCAGCTAGTGTGACCGTCCTTGGTCAGATATGTACGTATATGCATATCCGGTTTTGTTCCGGTTATGTCAACTCGACTGTCGCGGAAACAAAGGATCCACCCTCATCATGTATGCCGGCTGGTTACAAGCCAACGTCATTGATCCGGGCGTGGAACACTACAAGGCATCACCATTGTCACCCATCGAGCCCGACATAGCGACTGTCGTTTGGCCATCACACCTAAATGAGGGATCAGGGGAGGGCTTACGGAAAAGTCAAGAGGATATTCCTAAGAGACGTGTACTGAAAACCACGAAATCTCACAGAGTTTGGACTCGATACTTTGCAATAGATCGGAAGATCATGGGTGTGATAGTCGAAAGCAATGATGAAAGCAATATCTCTAGGCACCAATAGAGGGGGGACAAGCTAGATCCACTTCCATCATGTATAGACGTTGACTGGTTACAGGGGTACAAAGTATTCTGTAGCGACATTAATTAGATTCGTATAGCTGAAGAAGGATGCGGTCAAGCCCGAGATATCGCGATAAGGCGAGAGCTTGAGTACCGTTTACAGACCCGACGGAAATATTGGCGAAGCTCCAAAATTTTAGCCCAGGCATGCCCAAGCACAATTGGAGTTTGCTCTATAAAGAGCCAAAGGATCGAACAACAGTGCAGTTAGTCTTGGTTCTCAACAATAAAAGCTTAGGTATTATATCGAGATGCCAAATCAAATCCCTCAGAAATACCAGAAGGTCTTCAAAACCAGTACTGAGGCTCAAGTCAACTTATCAGCATTTGTGGAAAAGTTAAGTGCGTATGTATATCTAATTTCGCAAAAAATGCACCCATATATTCTGGGGCGCCCTAATGTACGCACTTAGAGTAGAACTACACACCAAACTCTTTCAGCTAATTTTATGAGCTTAATAAAGAGCTAAACGCTTGCAAACATTATTTCTGAGTTTTCACCTTATGTATGTATGTACATTAAAGTGCCTCTCCAAAAAAGTTGCAATGAACACAAATGAAAAAAAGTTGTGGTCTTTCCACCGGAGTTATAAAACGTATTATATTGTACTACTTTCGACAAAATATTTCGGAGGAATATTAAGATTTACGTAAGCTGAACCAATTTGAAAATGCCTTTAAAAATCTCATTATTTTGGTTCCGCTAATACAATTTTAAAGGATTCTTATGCAAGCCTTTTAAGCTTAAACTCTTCTGACATCTGGGGCGATTTTTTGGGAAAAAATTTTTAAAAATTAATTTTATATATAAACAAAACACGATTTTTGGAGGTATTTTCAATTCCGGCCAGCTCATGTAAATCTTAACATTTTTCCGCAATATTTTCGTGAAGTCCTTAAAATATAATAAGTTTTATAATTCCAGTGGAAAAACAACTATTTTTAATGGATATTGATGCACCCTAATATACATAGAATTATGTTTATATTTATGTATGCAACATTACCGATCAATTTATTAATATCGTTATCGATATACATACAGACATTTTTGATGCGTTTATCGAGTAATCGATATATATTTGAGACATTTATCGATTAAGCGATATATTTCGACATATTTATGGGTTAATCGTTATGTTTTGATATATTTATCGGCGTTTCGGCATAGTTATCAACTTAGCAATTACGATTTAATGTTCTTGTCTATGCTGTTATCGATATTAATGACCTTGTTCACAATTTTATCAACATCTCCATCAATTATTTATCGGAATATTTATCATTATCTATGTCGACAACCATGTTCTTCCGATGAGGTGTTTGCAACTATGTTTGGAGTAATTCGCTTATCCTATATATTTTGAGATATATATCGAATTATCGATACAATTTGAAATAGAAATCGGTTAATCGATATACATATATTGATATATTTATCGATTTATCGCTATATTTATCAGTTTATAATTACAATTAAATGTACCTTTCGAAGTTGTTATCGATATTAATGATCTTGTTCACAAATTAATCTGCATATTTCTACTTATCTTTTTTTTAATATCGGCAAGCATGCTTTTACGATCTATTATACCGTGCGTCAAAAACAAAAAAAAAATCAAAACACACGAATTAATCAATATACTCACGAAACTATGGGCCAAATATAGTAAAACTGTGTTTTTAGTTTTTCACTCTAATGTCAGGATTTATTTTAAATGACTTTGAAATTTTCCAGATATGATTAATTCAAAAATTACTTAAATATATCAGTGCAATGTAGTATAGCAATATGGGTACCAAGTAAAAGACAAAATTCTGTAGAACATTCAAGTTTTTTGGACGAATAGGTATTGAAAATGCGCTTTTAATTCGTTTTTTTTAAGCTAATAAAGTTGTATAATAAAAAAATATTGGAATTTGTTTAAATATTCAGGGACAAAATTTTAAAAGTATATTTTCCATACCCATTTGCCCAAATCTTACCAAAATCTATCTGACCAAAAATCTTAGCCTTTTTTAAGCAACAGAATTTTCTCTTTTTTTTTGACACCCACATTGTTATTCTACATTGCACTGAATTTTTTAAATAATTTTTTGAATTAACCATATTTTTTAAATTTCAAAGACCTTCTAAAAAATCCTGACATAACAGAAAAAAACTTAATACACAATTGTAATATATATGGCATATAGTTTCGCGAATTCATTACTTTTTTGTGTGTAAAATTTACTGTCGAACGGTGTTATTTACACTCCCTTAGGATGACTTTAATTTCTACACAAATTTGGTACTAACAACGTTCATTCGAGCATACAAATAGCCTTCGAATTTCCCTTATCTTTACATATATGTATGTATCTAAATTAAAAAGCACCACACAAAATAATATCTCGAATACATATATTCGTTGGGTATATAAAAATGTATTATTTCTGATATGCCAATTATTGTTCAATTTATGGCATAGATATACCAGAATATGTTTCCGTACAGTGTTTTTTTTTAAATATGTATTCGCAATGTTTTTCGTAATAAATTTTTTTCGTTAATTTTTAATAGAAATATAATTCATTCTGCATCAAAATGATTCAAAGTTTTTTTTTTTTAATTTTGAAAAGTTCGACAAATTTTCACCAAAATTTTCAAATTTTAAACAAAAATTTTTAGAATTTTTTTGAGTATGCAGTTTTGTAGTTCACTCAATTTCAGTGAAATGAAAGTTAAAAATTTTGGTGAAAATTTGTCGAATTTCCCTAAATTTTCTAAAAATTTTGAATCATTAACTTATATTCCATTTGATATAGAATGAACAATATTTCTTTTAAAAATTAACGGGGAAAAAATATTATTACGAAAAGCATTGCAAATACATATGTATTAAAAAAAGACACTGTACGGAAACATATTCTGGGAGTGTTTGTAAGTAACAAATAAACATACAAGAACAGTAAAGGTGGACGTCCAATATGACTGCCCGATAAAGCGCAATCGCTGCTCGGAAGACCTCTGATAAGTTCAAAATAAAACGCATAGACAAGGCAGGCACATTGATTTTAGACACTTCATATTTACCGTAAGATAACTTAGTACTATTTCGAATTTCTTGCATTACAGAAGTATTAAAAATGACACCACGCACAGTTAGACCACTATACATTTTCATTTTTTCCCTGTGTATCTGCATCGCACTGGCCGGCGCCTCAATCGTCTTGGCTGGGGATGGAGTGGAAAGTCGTATTATTGGCGGTACTGCAGTGGACATATCCTACGCACCATATTTGGTATCACTGCGCTACAAGCGCAACGCTTCAACACCCTTCGTCCATCGTTGTTCCGGCACGATTTACTCGACGCAAGTTGTGCTCACGACTGCGCGTTGCGTTATCGGCTTGGAGCCTCGACAATTGCAAATTGTCGCCGGCAGCAGTTATAGTTCACAAACCGATGGCTATGTTTATCTCATCAACTTGATTCACTTACATCCGGATTTTAATATTTTCTTTATCGATAATGATTTGGCGTTGCTACACTTGGAATTTCCGCTTGCCACAAATAATGCGAAGTTGATTTCGCCGATCGATTTGGCAGCGGTTGTGCCAGCTGCTGGCAATGTGTCAACAGTGGCTGGCTGGGGCTTAACGACTGAGCAGGGTACACAGGCGGACCAATTGCAGCAAGCGTCAGTGCAACTGTTGGACGATGCGACATGCAAGGCGGCGTATGGTGTGGGACGCATTAGTGCGGCGATGTTATGTGCAGGCGGTGTGAGCACGGCGGGTGTCGCTGTCGATGCTTGCCAAGGAGATGCGGGTAGTGCGCTGGTTTATAACGGCGCTGCTGTGGGCTTAGTGTCATGGGGAAGTAGCTGTGGACGCGAAGGCTACCCTGGAGTCTATACGAATTTGGTGCACTTGAAGGAGTGGATCGAAAATGAGGCGAATTAGTGGTTTCGAGAAATTGTAAAAAAAAAGTTGTGCAAAGTGTACTAAGTATTGAACGAAAGTTGTTTTTAGAAGAAGAAGCAATAAAGCAATAATAAATTTACTAAAATTTGCGTTGAACGAGCTCTTTAGCTAAAACAATTTAGGTTATCGGTTAGATAACTAAACATTAGCTAAGCATTAGGGGTTTTATTCTAGATATGCGGTGGATACTTTTTATATACGGGAAGTTCAGTCTGGCGCTTATTGTCGGTCGATCTCTTACAAATCTAATATTTTTTTGCCGGCTGATAAAAATTCCAATTGGTCTAAGGTAATGCCAATCTTTTTGATCAGGAAAGAGTTAAAAATAACCACACTCAGTGTTGCCAGGTTGACAATTTGGTCGTCATTTTGAAGATTTTTTAGTTAACTCTTTCAGTGCTATTCAACAGAATGGAAAAGTGTTCACTCTACACTTTTAGTATGTTTTGGACATCGGTGACTGTGTCGTGGTGCTTTTTCTTACTGAAATTCGCCTTGGTTTTTAAACCTAAACGTGGACGCATGCCATCTGCACATCACAGTTTGATCGATGTGCTCTTTCATATTTCGTTCGGAAAGCAGCCATGCAGCCTTATGAACTCTTTTGTACTGGAACCTAGTGCTGTAGACTACCATGTGCCGGCAAAATCGATCAGCCCCAGTTTGTCTTCGGATATTTCATCATAGAGGCTTAATTTTCAAACGTTGTGACCATTTCTTGGATTCCAGTGATGTCAGGTTCATCCTTACCGAGGACTTCAAAGAGCTAGCGACATCTTCCCTATTAAGGGTTCGTACATTCCCTTTACACGTTCACCGCGGCCGTTATCGTTTGTGCAAACCTACATATGCACACCGCACATTACGCGCCTAATCATAGTAGAGTAGTCGGTTCGGTCAGGCCTCCATACTTCACACTCTGGGTAGTTACAACCAAGAAGTTGACTACTCCGCTCCCAAACCAATCTTCGATAGGCTCTTTAAAACGAGCATCCCGTCAAGAAGAGAATGGCAAATACCAAGACCATGGATACGGGGGAATTGAATTTTTACACAGATGGTTCCAAGCTAGACAACAGGGTTGGCTACGGAGTTTTCTCTAAGGAACTAGGACTGGAACTATCCGTCCGAATTCCGGACCACTGCAGTATTTATCAGGCAGAAGTTTTAGCTATAAAGGAGGTGGTAACGAAGACTACGATTAATAAATTCTCGGATACCCAGGCGACCATTAAATCAATGAACATGATAATGCTGAGATCGAAGGTTGCGCAGGAATGCCTCGCAGCTCTAAACGATATTAGCGCTATGTTCAAGGTCAGCCTCATATCGGTTCCGGGACACAGAGATATTGAAGGAAACTGCAGGGCCGATGGGCTGGCCAGGAAAGGTACCAATCTACCCCTATGTGAAAACAGGAGCACTATTGGGATACCCATAGCAACCTGCAAATTAGAACTTCGAAATAGCATGATCCAAGACGCCAACAGGTCATGGCTAGAAGAGGGCAATTGTAGAACAACCAGGCTGCTTTGGCCGCAAATAGATAAGAAAAAAACGAAACAGTTGCTGTGCCTCTCAGGCGAGGATATTGCGAAGGCCACTGCTTGTGTAACCGGTCATTGGCTATTTGGCAGACACTCTTCAAGACTAGGAATTTTCTCCCACGAATTTTGCAGAGATGAAGAGGAGGAAGAAACCGTAGAGCACTTCTTCTGTAGTTGCCCAGCTTTTGTCGAGAGGAGAGCAGGCTTTTTAGGTAGGCCCTTCTGTAGATCTGTTACGGAATTATTACGCGTAAGAATAAAACCGATTCTACGCTTTATAAGAGCCTCAAATTGGTTCTTTGAAGAATAGTCACCGAGGTGCCCGTGCATACTGACCTTAAACGAAAACATGATCATGAATCGAAATTTACGGAGCTTCATTGAAATATGTAAATATGTAAAAGCTTCATACTTTAGTATGCAGAAGCGATTACACAACTATGATTAGGCGCTTAGTGTGCGGAGTGCCTTAGTCATATTTATTAGAAACACGTTCTACCTCTTTGTATAAGCATAATGAGTAGCAGCAAGGCGAGGCTAAATGCAAGAAAAATAGTGATTTTTCCTGGAATAATTTCGGTAAACTTCCACACAACCGTTATCGGTACTTAACACTGTAGATAGTGAATTAAAAAAAAAAAAAAAAAAAATTACCAACCATAAATCAAAAATTAACTGTTATTAATTTTATTTAAAGGTAAATTAGTTTTACAAATATGAATACTCCTTGATATCATTATAGGCTTCCGCTGTCTCCTCGATCCACTCCGCTAAATCCGGCACTGATGCGTATACACCCGGATAGCTCGAGCGTGCACATCCAATACCCCACGAAACGATGCCCAACAATTCATTGTTAACTATCAGCGGACCACCCGAATCACCTTGGCAAGCATCCTTGCCACCACCCACCACACCAGCGCACAGCATACGTCCCGTCACCAGAAAGGGGTAGGACCGGCGGCATGTGACGTTGTCTATCACATTAACAGTGACTTGCTGCAATTGATCGCTTACGTTGCCACCTTCTTCGAGTGTACCCCAACCGGTCACAATAACATCAGTGCCCGCTTCTGGACGCTCCTTGGCCAGAGCAATGGGTTGTATGTATGCGTTGAATGTCAATTGGTTGGCCAACACCAAAATCGCGACATCATAATCGTTGATCGAGGAGTATTTTTCATGCATAACATAAAGCAGCACAGGCACTTCGACGGCTTCCTCACTCAGCAGCGTGGTCCCGGCAACAATTCCCAGATTCGAAGCGTCCACACCGGTGACACAATGTGATGCGCTCACAATTATTTTGGATGAGTAGATGCTGCCACCGCAACGATGACGTCCATTGTAGCGCATCGAGACCTGATGTGGATATTGGCTTATGGTTGCATTGGTGCCACCTACGATGCGACCATCGGGCATTGGTACAGAGCTTGCCGTTTCGAGGCCTGCATTGGCTGAGCCCGTGCTGAAGGCGATGGTGAGTAGCGCGACGAGCGTTATGTGGCGAAACATTTCTACGCGGCGGTGCAGGAGGATTAGAACTGCGTAAGAGAAAGCATAGTGTAGCGAAATTTATAGGAGCTGATAACGAGTTTGATAGCCAATCCGTGATATAATGGAAAGCGTCCGGCGTTTAACGGCTAATCTCAGAGTTAATAAATCAATGCTGAGTGCCTAACGGCTTGTTTTCACTATGTCAAATTCAGGGCATATGTCGTCAAATAAGTGAAAACAGATACATAGGTAAATGAACCTAATTAAATGGTCTATCGATTGATTGAGATCATAATAGATCTTCAGTCGTGTACGTTCGCCGCTGAATTGACTATCCGTTCGTCTTTGGCCGATAGTATCATTGGTAAAGGAGATAAAATTGTGTCAAAATATGTCGACACATTTTGTGGTCAAAATATGAAAACCCGCCTTTAGAGTTTATCTGCAAAAAATATATATATGTATTTATTTGGCATATGTTTGCGTAATCTTAGCCACAGTTCAATAAAGTCTGGCAGTCGCTGTTTTTTCGTGCTGGCTAACAACAAAATGAAAAACAAACTCTTCTGTAGCAAAGCAACGATGTTAAGTA